CCGGTTACAGTCCTCGTTGGGACAAGTTCATCTTTTTCATTCTTGATGACTGTAATACCTCCCTTCTTTGGTACAACGTGGACCGGACTTACCCAATTGCTATCAGAAATTGGAAAATTATCTCCTGCATCAAGCAGTTTAATGATTTCCTTCTTTACGACTTCTTGAAGATTCGGGTTTAGTCGTCTCTGATGCTCTACAGACGACTTGGATTCGTTCTCCAGATGAATCCGATGCCTACAACGGTCAGGAGATATGCCTGGGATGTCATCTAAAGAGTATCCAAGTGCCTTTCTATGCTTGCGAAGCTTGTTCAGCAATAGAGCAAGCTCCCTGTTAGTGAGATTTGCGTTAACTATCACTGGATAGTAATCGTACATAAGAAAAGCATACTTAAGTCCAGCGGGTAACGGCTTAAGCTCCACTTTTGGTGCTTTTTTCCTTTGTGAGATTTCCAACTGATGGCGGGTGTCGATCGATATCAGTTTTAAGGTATCGATCGATATCAATATCTGATCCATCATCTCTTTTGGTTCCCACGCGTGAGGATCCTTGGCTAGTTTCTATGAGACGATCGTACTCGGTTGCTCTGCTATCTATGCCGAAAATCTCGTTTTGAGCAGATGTAGGCGCATCTTCCAAATGATCATTCGAGTACAGTTTCTCAAAAGATTCTTGGGTCAGCTCATCCACCTCATCTACATAAGATGATTGTTTATCTATTAAAGGAAGTGTGATGACCTTCTCCATATCAAATCTCATAGGGATGTTACCTATGTTACGATTTATTCGTCCTTCTTTGACATCAATAATGGCGTTCGCAGTAGCAAGGAATGGTCTACCTAATAGAATCGGATCTCTCGGCTCGTTCTTGTAATGCAGCACAACAAAATCTGACGGGACAGTGCATCCGTCGATTTTTACTGGTACATCTTCAAGTACACCTTCCGGAATCCTAACAGATCTATAAGCAAGAACTAGTTGGATATTGGCCGGTGTAAATTCAGTGTACCCAAGGAATGTTGCAACGGAGTGCGGCATTAAATTTTTGCTAGAGCCTAGATCACAGAGTGCTCTCGAGAATAGCTGGTTTCGAATTGTGCATTTGAGAACGAAACTACCAGGATCGGGTCGCTTCTCTGGGGTTTGAATTATGGTGCTAGCTTCTGGTGAAACCATCATTACACTGCGTTTCTCTGTTGAAAAACTCTTTGTTGTCACTCTTTTGACATATTGTCTTATGGTTGGTGAAATTTGAGGGCGTCACTAAGTGCCATTTCTACCATAACTCGTTCGAAAGCTCGTCTGCAAATTTCTGTATCCATGTTGTGTCTAGTATTAGACTTGGGAGGGTAGGGAGGTAAAGTGTTGTACACCCGTTCTATGGTTGGTTCAGTGGATGTTGGACTTTCTTTCGAATTCGTGGGTGTTTGTCGATCGATATCGGTGTCTTCGTGTCGATCGACATTGACAATTTCTTCTTCATCGAGAATGATTACTGGTTCCTCAGTTTACTTAGAATTTTTATTCTTTTCTTTGTTCTGCGGGAGCTCAGATTTCAAATCGCGGAGAAGCACGGGGTTGGGAATGGATTTCTCCGTTTCAGGAATTTCAGCGTTCCCTCCCGAAGGGTTGTTTTCCCTAGTAATCGGAGTTAGCTGTTTTTCGTTCCTTAGCATTACAGCACTTACATGACGTCTTGGGTTTGTATCAGTCTTCCCTGGTAGACGTCCTGCTTCCCTCTTGATGGTGGTAGCGCAATTGGCAACATCGCTTTCTAGACTTCTGATTTGCTTACGCAAAGTATCAAATTTCTCCCGACATTTCGCAGTAAACATCATCCAACTTGATGTCTAGGTCTTGGCTTAGCCTCTGATTTCCCATGAAGACATGGTTTAAAACGGTTTGGGCTCTCCCTCGGTGTGATACGGCGAGGGTGTCACAGTTTTGGGTAAAACTATCTATGTCAAAAAGGTCTTCCTGAGGGTTTTCATGTCTAAGGAGTGTTTGCTCTGTGGAATGGATATCTTATTGCTCTGGGTAATACCAGGCTTCTTTTCCTTTGTGAAAGAATGAAGGAGATCTAGAGACTTCCTAATTTCATTTATCTGAAGGTCATTCCTGGATCTAGCTTCTCTTTCTTTATCTTTATTTTCATAAGATTTACCCATCGCTATATTTTCAATCAAATGATTTGCTTCTTCAGGGTTCCTGGAGCTGAAATTTCCATTACTCGCATTATCTAGCGTGATCTGGTAATCTAGCTCGAGGCCTCCGTAGAAAAATTTACGGAGCTATGGTTTTGAATAACCATGGTGGGTACAATCTCGCTGATGACTCTTAAACCTAATCCAGGCGTTTCTGAAAGATTCTCATTGGCGTTGAAGGAATGTGGAGAGTTTATGTCTAGCGTCCCAATATCGAGTCTCATCGAAGAATTGGTGAAAGCAGTGCAAATATCTTTCCAGCAGGTTAAGGTTCCCGCTGGTATTTGATTTAACCAATTTCTGGCTTCCCTCCCTAAGGAAAAAGGGAACAATCTACAACGATTAATATCGCTGAGCGCCAATTCTTCTAGAAAATCGATGTGCTCATGGGGATGCTCTGAGGCAGAACCACGTAAAGGTTTTTCTTGTACCAAATGGATGTAATCAAAATGAAGTGTAGACTTATTTGCTTCACCCTCTTGTAACTTAATAGCTGACATATTGGAATAGGTCTTAATTGGATCTAAGTAGTCTTGCAGTTTTTCTACATCTTCATTTGAAGATGGATAACATTTGACAAGGATTGCAGTCCCCTGTTTAACTGTAAATTCATTGGTCTCATTGCATAACTGACCTAATGGTTCGTGTTGGACTACTTCCTCATTAACTAGATTGGTAAGTGAAGACTTACCTGCTTCCGGCTGGGTTTCATCGATCGATGTCGGTTGGTTTATGTCGATCGATTCCTCGGTCAACATATCGTTCGATTTATGCGTCACATCATCGGTCGATTCCTTGGTTAACATATCGCTCGATGTGTGTATTACGTCATCGGTCGATGCTTGGCCGAAATCTGTCTTCTCCATCTTGAGTTCCCTATGACAGCAGAGAAAGAGGAAAAAGAATTAAATAAACGAAAATAAAATCTAGACGATATTCTAAACTAAATCTGATGGTAATAAGAAGAGTCCCCAGCAACGGCGCCAAATTTGATATCACTCAAATTACCCTAGGAGTGAATTACTCTCATCAAAAGAGGTTCACTTGTAGTACTTAGGGATCGAATCCACAGAGACTCTAAGATTACACAAGAGATTATTTAGTTTTCGAAGTAAAGCTAGATAGCAAGTATTAAACAATAACTTAAAAAGGTAACCAAGCGATTGCTTGATTGATTGATTTTTTTTGTTAAGAGAAAGAAGGTAGTTAAACTTAGGTAGTTAAACATGCAAGTTATAAAGGGTTTTTATTATTCATAGTTGTGGATTCAAACTCTTAAGGATTTGAAGAATTAACTCTTACTGGATCTCGGGTCAAGAACTATCGTTCGATGACCTTGAGTGAATATCGATCGATAGTTCGATAGAAATATTGATCGATGTTGTATGCTATATCGGTCGATGCGACGGTTATCTCGTCGATCGATATTGCATCTAGCGAGTTCTAATGACGGGTTTGAAAGGGTTCTCTAGTCTTCAATAAACAGCTTAGACTCTAGGTAATTGTTAAGTTCTCACTTATCCAAATTGATCCTAAAGTCAGAGGTAAGGGTGATCAATCCTTAACATTAGTATTTATGATGACTAGATTTAGAACTATATTTTAAACACCCTAATGATGATTACTTCAATGCATGAGTCAACCCTAATGAGAAACCTAAATCTAACAACACTACAAGAAAATAAAGACATTGTGACAAAATTTTCTGTCACAATAAAAAAGAATTCCGAACAATATTTTCATTTTTACGTTTTTGTTACTGAGTATTAATAGTGACAATATGTGTGTCACAAATATTCTGGAGTAACAAAAATGTAACAATTTCTTGTGACTAATTTTTTTGTAGCAAATCGTCACACATAGTTACCTTGTATATTGGTAACAAACCTGTTACAATTTCTCACTTATCAAATGGTCTCAAATTGTCTTAATTTGTGACTATGTAACGTGACAAGAATGTCACTCTTAGTGACAGATATATTGTGACAAAATGTTACTAATATAGACAACAATATAGTCCTTTTATGGTCACCAATTCTGACATTACATATTGTACCAAATCGTCATTATGCATAATTAATTTAAAGTCTTAAGTTTGTAGCCTATTATAACCAAAAAATTGGTCACAAACCGTAATAATCAATGACTAAAAAAAAGATATTAATCCGTCTTAAATACATACTATAAATACATTACAAAATTGTTGTATTTTGCTACATTCATTATGTTATTAATTTGTCACTTACAAAAGCAATGTAACTAAAAGTCACAAACGATGACCGTAATATAATAACATCTCAGTTTCAATTTGTTACAAATTTATAATGCAAATTTTCTTTATTTAAATTATGTCACCTACTACATTTTATAATTTATTATTGAATTATTGGCACAATAGAATTTATAAATAAAAAGAAATCAAATATCAAAACTGCATAGATATTATTTAAATATTAAACTTAAGCAAAACACAATTCTCGTTTACTAAGGAAACATAAATTGTTTAGTAAACTAATGAAAACCAAAACCAAAAAACAGAAGAAAACCAAATGAAAAGCAAACTGGAAAGACGAAGCTAAAACACCAAACTGAAAAAACGATAGATGCTAAACCCCAAATACAACTTGGAGAAGTAATGGAGAAACAACTTCATCCGGATGTGGTAGTATCTGTTGGAGTCAACACATTTTCACCAAAAGCAGACATCAATATTTTCTCCATTGCTTCAATCCCATTCTGAAACTGAACCTTTTCTTCATTACTCTTTTGCAAGTCTGACTCCAACTCTTGGACTCAGTGAGTTAAAGTACCCTCATCTTCAACAGCTTGTGGTGAAACTGTAGAAAACAGCTTGTGGTGAAACTGTAGAACCATCAAATGGCACATAAACTCCACTTTGAAGTGATCCAAGTCCAAATACACATCCTTGTTTTGAAATTCCAGCAACCTACCAAACATATAACAGTTAATAAACACATATACAATTAAAATGCACATACAACTTTATTAAGAAAAGCTATGCAAAGAATCAATTGTATCTCCGAATATAAAAAAAAATCAGGACAAAAATAAATTTGAAATCTGATAAAAATTACCTTCAAATAGATTTCATTTCTTTCATCTATAGTAAGAGGATCTGTCAAAACCTCTCCATTTGAAGGTTAACCCAGTGACAATCTGTCTTGCACATATGCATTATATTTTTCAGCAATTAAGCGTGCTCTCTCATCAACATAGGATCCATCAGGCTTCTGGTGGGTTTTCTTCATCGCAGCAATGAAGGAAGAGTCTTCATTATATGCCACCTAAACCATTAACATAAGCTGTAAACTCAGATTAAAAGTAAAAGTACAATCCTTAAGTAAAACAATATGTACACTACCAGATTATCTTGAACTTTAGTATAGGAACGTGAGCCTGATCTGTGGCTGTGTGGACCCAAACCATCACGGTTAAACAAACGAGCCATACGAGCTTTCTCACTTTTTTCTTTGGATTTTGGTGTCTTCCAGTAATCTGACATTTCTCTCCAATGTTCTGAAAGAATCCAATCAGGTTTCATTCCTTTGGATTTGGCAAGGCTCACCATTCCTTTGAGGCGAGTGGCAGCTAGTTCCTCAAAGTTAGCTTTCACTAGATCTTCAATGGCGACATTCCACTCATACTTAGTCTACAATCAAAACAATGTGGTCAGAGTTATTAAAAAATAAACAAAACACAGGATATGAATGAAACGTTTATGAAAAATAGAACTCATAAATGTGGAAGAAATGAAATATGTATTTGATGTTAAAAGTATATAGAGACACACCTTAAGCATTGAATACCAAGCATCCCTGTAAAACTGGGGTACTTTTCTCCAGCTGTACCATGGTCCTTTAAAAATTCCTTCAATGATTTTCCTTACACGCATTGATATTTTAGTGTTGTTCTTGAACCTGTAAAGATATAGTTGAGTTTGTTATATATATACTTTGTAAATCAGAGAGAGAAATTAAGAATATATTACAATACCATTTAGCTCCATTCTTTCTAGATGGGTGAAGCACTCGCGAATCTAGCTCAACAGGTACAAATTCTTCCATTTGTTCACGTGGTTGGGCATTTTCAGCAACTCCTTCCCTTTGTCTTTGGAGACCAACAGATTGAAGAGATGATCTTCCAAACAAGCGACCGCCTAACATCATTGGTGGACGCATCTATAATAGTACAAAAGAAATCATAGAAAGAGATGAAGTGCAAAAGTATATATTAGATCATGACATGACAAACAATATACAAAACATACGATTAATTGCAAAAATAAGAAAACCAAAGAGATCTGAGACCTTGACGGCTTTGATTTTCTAAGATGTAGTTTAGGTTCTTAGGTTTTAACGTGAGAAGAGGTAACTAAATATCACTTCCTTTATATACTAGTTAACTATTAAGATATTTCTGAATATACTTACCACTTTTTAAGGGATTTTCCCGGTTTCTAATTAATTCTTCGGTTTTGCCGCTCTAAAGTAAAAATCTAAATATCTCCTTATAACTTGAAAGGCGCCATTAAGAAAGTAAGGCGCCATTAAAAAAAAAGATAGACAAAAAAATAAAAGAAAAAAGTATACATTGCTAGTCTATCCAATGTTAGCGGAAGCAGGCAAAGGGAGAAAAAAAAAACTCAAGTGATGTGCATAATAAAGAAAAACGTGAAACAAGCTTGGAATATTCGCCATGGGATGAATACTGGCTAAACCACATTGCAAGAGTTAGTCTTTATTCATCTGTTACCTGTGAGATGAGCATCCATCAGTTACATGGAAGTCATATAAAAAAAAAAGGAAGGCTGTAATAACGAGCAAACCTCATCAACATAATGAATATTCCGGTCATCAGCTGTGTACATGATAACATCCTGGTCAAGACACAAGGTTCTAGTTCAATAGTAACCGTTGAGACAACTGAAAAAGGGACATACTTACTCCAGCTGAAGGAACAACGGTCGCTGGTTCACCACTCTGAAAACGAAAGAGACTGCCTTTGAAGTCTTTACCGTAGCTATTCAAGTAACAAACTGCCTAGGAAACCAAACATAATACCAAAAGTGATCATTCACATAAAACACCATACCGATAATGACTTATATAGACTAAAAAAAAACGAACCTAGAAGTCTCTGTTATCATCACTGTGCCAACCAATGTTAGCTCCTCTACACCAACTGATATCAACAAAAAATAAAAAAAGAATCAATCTTTACCCTTGTAAGGGAAGAGACACAAAGGTAGTGACTTTATTACCTAACTAAACCTGTGATTTGGATAAACAGCTCGTACTCACACCCAAACGTTTCCTCCATTCTCTCTTTCAACCGTTCTGTTTATTCAGACAGAAACATGAACATCACAAAAAGGAATTTACTTGGAAATGTTAAAAGAGGGGAGAGTTGAGACCTCAAATAGAGACGAAAGGGATGAGGAGGTGAGGAGAATTGGTGGCGATGAGGTGGGAGAGAGTGGTGAGAAAGAGTGCTGGAGAAGACATTTGGTCTGTACCCGACACTACTGCTGCTCTTGTGTATGAACTCGAGTTCCCTGCACTCTTCCGGTGACAGAAAATTGTGGAGAATCAATCTCGGGTGGTCTCTCTTTGGCTCCCACACACTCTGATTACAGGAAAACGAATCAGGAAGGAAGCTCAATCTGGGTCTCAAGAAGAAGAAATCAAGAAGGGTTTCTGGGTCTCTGCTGCATGCCAATCGAAGAAGAAATCAAGAAGGAAGCTCAATCTCTTCCTCTGTTAGTGGCTTCTTTGGTCGAGATTGGATTGTGTAATTGAACAAAAATAAAAATAAAAATAAAAATAACAGAAGCGGTGCCGGTGACCTTTTGGTGTCGACACAAGAACCATATACTGTAGTATCAAAGATAATAAATAAAATAATGTAAATTTCAATTCCAAAACCATAAAGCTCTGTGTATCATAGTTGTTCAAACAAAAAAAAACTCTGTCTATCATATAATTTCAAAACCATAAATTCTGTCTATCATATAAAAAATAAAACTATGGCACCAGATTTAATCAGATTCTTCTTCTGTTAACTCGTGGTCATTATTTTCATCCTCAATATCTGATCTTAATCCGGCTTCTTCTTCTTCTACATCTTCAAGATTTTCGGTTTGACCATATAAATTAACTAATGTTTCTACTTGTAGTAGATCGGTAGAAACAACCGAATTATCATCAGTATGTTGCATTGCAGAGGAGTCCAAATTTTGATTCATCAATATTTCCCCCCTTGGTTGAATCACGATAGCTGCTTTCCAATGACAATCTTTCTTCTGAGTTACTCGTGGATACGGAACATAGCATACTTGATCTGCTTGTGAAGCTAAAATAAAGGGATCATATGTTCCATAACTCTTTCCAATATTAACATCAATGATCCCAGACTTGTTCACCCGTATACCTTTTCCAATGATTGAATCATACCAATCACATTTAAAAGGCACAACTTTGAGATGAACCGGTCCTGAATAATGGAGCTCAAAAATCTCTTTTAATACTCCATAGAAATCAGGTTCTCCCTTGATCCTTGAGATGATATGTCTTTAATACAAACTCCATAACTTGCATTGGTCTTCTCTTTTCCATAGTCATATGTGTGAAATATATAACCCCGACAAAAGTATATTGGCCAACAAGTAACTTTTGTAATAGGACCATGTGCAAGACTTTGTAACCATGGAGTATTAATCTTGTTGTTCTCCACCTGATATTTATCAACAAAAAAGTAGATTAATATAAATTAATTTATGAAAATATAACAGTAATGAGTTTTTATAAATTCTTACATGTTTTTCTAACCACTTTGCAAATTCTTTCACTTTAAGCTGATTTAGATCATTTTCATTTATTCCAGGATATGAAGCAGTCATAGTCTCCTCAAATAACCTACACAAAAGGTTCATAAGACTTATAATGTGTTTCTATAATAAAATTTATGTAAATATGAATTAATATGTGTATTTATTAATTATACTTACCTTTCAAACGGTCTTACTTCTCTGCAATTCAGTAGGACATATGTATGTGCGATAATGTAGTCTTTATCTTGAAGCCATAATTCTTTTTTCATTACCACTTCCTTTTCCTTGCTGATTAAATATATCTGGCGCTACATCATTCTGGTTTGAATCTACCTGACTACACCCATCGTAGTGCCGATATTCTCTTCGGCTTTTTGTCTTGATATGTGGCTCAAAGTCATAAGTACCAAAAGTAGAAATTTCTTCATTGACATATTGTTCAACGATAGAACCTTCTACTTTTGCTTTATTTTTTACTCTTTTTTTTCAGATGACCCATATATCGTTCGAAAGGATACATCCATCTAAACTGCACAGGTCCTCCAAGTTTAGCTTCGTGTGGCAAATGGATTGCTAAATGTTCCATAACATCAAAAAAAGATGGAGGAAATATTTTTTCCAGATTACAAAGAACCACAGGAATGTTCTTCCCCAAGAGTGCAACACTATCTTCGTGTAAAGTTCTTGCACAAATATCACGGAAAAACAAAACAACACCTATAAATAAAAGAAGTTAAAATTTAGATTAGGCATCCAAATTTATTATTTAGGTTCTCTATTTCAAAATAACTAGAGATACAAAATAATTTAAAATTTTAAAAGAAAATATACTTACTTGATAAGGCTTCGGTTTAGATTTATCCATCAGCTCAGCAAATGCGATTGGAAGTTGTCGTTGAATTAAAACATGACAGTCATGACTTTTCATTCTTTTTCTAGCCATCGTAGAAACAAATTTTTGACATCGCCTTGCAGTCTGAAAATGGGTACTGGTGCCTTTCCATCTGCCATTAAATGCAGCTCTTTGCGATTACAATACTCCTCCAAATCAAGTCGTGATTGGATCTTATCTTGCGTCTTTCTTGGCACATTCAACAAAGTATTGATGATGTTATCAAGAAAATGTTTTCCGATATGCATCACATCAAGATTATGACGAAGCTTATGATCTTTCCAATATGGTAGCTCCCAAAAAATACTCTGCTTGTGCCAGTTGTGAATTTCACCGTATCCTTTTAATTTCCCATGATTTCCTCCACAGTCAACTGTTTTTGGCAGTTGACTGACTTCATTCCAGAATTCCTCGCCTGTCAATATTTCAGGTGGACCATCAACGACAACTCTTCCTTCTTTGAAGTTCGTTTTGTTCCTCCTATAGCTATGATCAGTCGGTAAAAAACATCGATGACAATCAAACCAACTTGTTTTTCTACCATTTTCAACTGAAATGCATCTGTCTGATCCAAACAGTAAGGACATGCCAGTCAACCATGAGTTGTCCACCCCGACAGCATACCATAAGCTGGAAAGTCACTAATTGTCCACATGAGTACTATTCGTAACTGAAAATTTTGCTTGGTCGAAATATCATATGTGTAGACACCATTAACCCACAAATCTTTTAACTCTTCTATCAAAGGCTGAAGAAAAATATCTAGACTTTTCTTTGGATGATTTGGACCAGGAACAAGAATTGTTAGAAACATATATTCTGGTTTCATGCAGATCTCTGGTGGTAGATTATAAGGAGTCATGATAACGGGCCACAAAGAATAATTATGTCCAGACATACCAATTTGACTGAATCCGTCTGTGCACAATCCAAGATAAACGTTTCTTGATTTATCAGCAAAAGTAGGGAATATCTTATTAAAGTGTTTCCATGCTTCTCCATTTGAAGGATGACACATTTCTCCAGCGTTCGATGTGTGTTCTGCATGCCATCTCATATCTTTTGCAGTCTTAGTGGACTGATATAATCTTTGTTATCTATTAGCTATCGGCAAATAAAACATATGTTGATATGCAACATTTTTTTGTCCACACTTCTGGGTAGGCCGAAATCTATCTTTCCCACAGAATTTGCAGATCTCCTTGTCTGCATCATCTTTCCAAAATATCATGCAGTTATCTCGACAAACATCAATGTTTTGATAAGGCAGACCCAACGATCGCATAAGCTTTTTTATATCATAGTATGAATTCATCGAATTGTTGCCTTGAGGTAAATAATCTTGCATCATTTGAGAAATTGAATCCATACAGTTTTGAGGCAGATTATAATTTGTCTTCAAACTCATGAGTCGAGATGCTAATGAGAGTTGGATTCTTTGCAGCATCTAATATGTCATAAAACTTCTTTGCCTCAGCATTCAGCTCTTCTTCCATATGAGAAAAAGCATCAGAAACCATAGTCTCATAAGGATTTACAGGTTCTGTATGAGCCTCAGTTTGCAAAATATCTTCACCAGCATCTGTAGAATCATCTGGAATCTCAGCACAATTATTCAGAATATCATAATCTTCTCCATGAGAAATCCAAACCCAATAATTGGGCATAAATCATCTATTATATAGATGTTTAGAAACAATCTCTTCTTGTAATAATTTTCCATTCTCGCACTTCAAACATGGACAAATAAGCTTTTCACGTTCAATAAAAAGTTGTTGATGCTTTGCAAATTGTATAAAGCTCTTTAATCCTTGGTAAAATTCTTCTGAAATTTGTTTAGTTGTATGGTCGATTCTTTCATACATCCATTTTCTTAAAATTTTAATATCGTTAGTGGACGACATTAATATTATCTGTAAAAAATGTATTGCTAGGTTTTGCTTCGACAAGAAAGATAGAAACATAAACTTAAAAGAAAAATTATCAGTCATATATCAATAACTCACCAGAGAAAAAGAAATCACAATTATGTAAAACTGCAATCAATGGATGACAGATTAGCTTGTCCTCGATTAATAATAAAAAGCTCCGTTACGTTATGAGAAGGGTGATGAATTGTTTTGCTTTCGATTCTTCTTTATCTGTTCCTCATGTATATATAAAATTTAACTTATTCCTTTTTTCTTATCAAAGTTTTACTTATTCCTTTAAGTTTTGTACTTATCGTGGAATTCCTTTTCTCTAATGTTTTAAATTCTCGTTGGTTTTATAATTCTTATAGGTTATACAAAATAGAAATAGGGGTTTTTGCAGAATTGACCTGAAACTTGAAGTCAACCACAAAACTAACCTCCTTTTTTTTTGGAACTTTATTTTGCCCAATTCACCCCACAAGTTCATATAATTCACGAAAATGCCATCAATTTTTTTTCGAAAATAACATATTTACTCTCTCACCCTCATCATCTTCAAGTAATTACAATATTGCCATTGTCATCAATACTCCAACAACCATGAACAACCAATTTTGAAGCTCTTAATGCCTCCAAATTCCATTTACCCTTCTTCTTTCTCTATTCTCATGAACTAAACAACACA